TTTATGTCATATGCCATACTTACCTTATTTCTTCTTGTAGTTATATGGATTGTTGGGAAAAAAATATGGGATTCATGGAAAAAAAGTAATACCTCTCCTTATCAGAACTATTTTTTATCATCTCCAGGTATTTCTGAAGCTAGGCTGTATGATCGGAGACCAGAAGTTCGAAGATAGAAATTGAAGTTAGCTGGTATTATTGGACGACCGAAGGAAGAAAAATATATGTGGACATAAATAATATTGCGCAAGTTCTCTTAGCGAGGTATGGTAATTTCGGCTAAGAATATTTAGCAATATAATTCAATGATATCGTCTATATCTGCCTTAGACGAATCATCGAAATATCTAGAAAGTTTATTGTAAGCCTTTTATATATCGTTTAAGCCAGTTTTTTGCCTTTCTCTGAGAATAATCATCGATTTGTTTTTCCCTTTCATCTGTATCCTTGATTTGCATAATTTTATCAGTTAGGTCTAGTTGATAGCTATTATTCTCATTGATAAAGTGTGCATATATTCCTACAGTCTGTTCTAAATAGTGGCCGATATCTATCTCCATGTTTTGCTCTTTTGCGATAGAAACATACTCCATATAATCACCCTTTCTAATTGATTTTGTGCCATCTTCTTTATAGCGGGGTCCATCTTTCACTACAACATAGCTAAATTGTTCACCAGAGTCAGGGATCTTTATGCGAAGTGCCTTCTGGATATTTTTTTCTCTGCTTTCTATCTTTTTTTTCATCCGTTCTATAAAGATTTTATTGCATGCGTGATCACCTTTAGCCTTCTATTTGGACATTGCAATAAAGTCGTTAAAATCCCATTGCTTATGTTTGGCCTCATTAAGAGTGTCTTCAACAATTTGATGAATTGAGCGTGTATTATTTATATCTATAGCTTTCTACATGATTTTGTCTCTGATAAACCTAAAGAGCTCAGAATTTCCTTGCTTTACAGTATCTATCTCTTTCTTGAAAAGGTTTTTTGGTTTAAAGTTTACTTTATCTTCATGCCCAACCCCAAAGTATTTCTTTTTGCCAGCGAAACATACGGGAAATAATACCTCTTCATATGCCATCTTAAAATGAGATGAACCACTTTTTATTTCAAGATAGGCATTAACCTGACTGCGCAGCTTTTTCATCATATCCATAGTAATTTTGACCATTTCAGTCCAGTACGCTTCTTTAGAAAGTTCGTCTCTGGAAAAGGCTTCATCACAAT